TCGCACATAGGACCGTGTTAATAATGAAGATTAAGTTGTTGTTGTATTACCATTCAATTCCTTGTGAAAAGTTGCATATCAAACTGGTTTTTATTGAAATTTTAATATACTATAGGAGAAATATACTAAATCTAATTTATATATGTAGAATATATGCATTCCAAATTGAGACCGCTCTTCTTACTATAAAATTTCCACTTTCAGATTGAGGCCACTTTCTAAATCTAATTAATAATCATTCAAAACAAGTGGTCTCACTGATGAAGCAGCCATCTATCTGTATAGACGCACAGAAGAAAAAAGATTAAAAAGAAAGAAAAATGACGTCAAGCAAGAGAGTGAGAAAAGAATAAATTTTGTATTGTCCAGCAAATGTTCGCTGTCTTTACTATGAAATTACTGTAGGATATGCAAATTTAGAGACAAAGTAAAATTAACTAGAATGTACTCTTCTCTGATTTGTGACAGTTTAAAGTACTCAAGTTGTACTATCTGCTGAGCTATATTTTAGAAAAAGATACATTTGATTTTCTTAGAAGGGTATCAGGTTTTTTTTGATCACCAATTCTTCAGCATAACTCTCACATTTTTATTTCTCTACAAAGTATAATGTACAACACATACAAAACTGATTAAGAAGAAACTTAAACAAAAAATACACAGATGAAAATTAGACTTATATATAGTTTTGGACATCCCACCACAACTGTAAAAAGTCGCACGACATTCTTGACTCATCTAAGACAATAGTGAGTATATTTTGCTTAAATGAGGGTGACGAAAATATGACTCGACTAGGAGTTGAATTCAGGATTACGATATCTCGTGTCAGCGCTCTAATCACCTGAACTATCGAGCCACCATCTTATCATATCCTCGTTCGTCGTACGTAACACATCTACTAATATACCTGCATGAAAAGGAAAAAAATCCATTTGAAGGTTAGTGATTACTCATCTTCTGAATCATCTTATACATCGTCATTAAATATGATTTTACGTTCTGTCTTTCTTTTTTCAATTTACAATCGCATCGTGCATACCTTTTTTCTGCTTTTAAACGCTATAAAAGCAGCTGTAGCAACTTGTCGTGCACAGAAACAATAGACTTGTTTCAGATCTATCCGTTTGTATTACTTAGCGAACTTAGTGTATTATAACAATGTTTGTTGGGAATGGAAATGTTCAACGCAAAGTGTATAACGTCGGCAGTTTTCATTCAATTTTGGTTAATGGTACAATTGACATTCGACTGGCGCATGGTGAAAAACAGTTAGTAGAAATTGAAACAGATGAAAACCTACATTATACGGATGCGGTTCAGCTATCTATTAATGAAAATGATCAGCGCTTATCTATACAAGATCATAACTGTCGTTATACGAAAATGATTGGTTATATTCAATTTGTCTCAACACCTCCAGGATTGAAAAGCTTAAAATTAAATGGTACAGGTCTTGTACAATCGACAAATGAAATTTTCGCTCTTGATAACACATTTTCCTTGACAATTAATGGAACACGGAAAGTTGAACTTAGATTAGATACTAAAAATGGTTTAGAATTAGAAATGAATGGAACAAGTCATCTAACACTGTCTGGAAATATCCAAAACTTCGCAGATATTAAACAGAATGGCTCGACACAGTTCGATGGTAAAAATTGTACGATGAGTCAGGCAACACTTGACTTACGAGGTACAAGTACAGCATATATTATTGCGCAAGATGAAATTAATGTCAATGTAAAAGGCGTTTCACGTGTATTCTATCGTGGTCCGCTAAGAAAGAAAACAGTTGAAAGTATAACATCTACAGTTCAAGAATTTTAAAACAGACGCACACCTCAGTTACGCTTTATGTTAATATTGAGTTGTTTTTCGTGCCAAAATATAAATATATTTTGAAAACTTGTTATCGGTGGGATCAGAGTAGGCGATTTCCAATGGTTCTGACACTTATTTGAGGTGCTGGCTTCACAATAGATAAAGAGAAAAACGTTTCGTTCGGACGCATTCTTCAGCTTGATCAACATTTACGCTTTTCTGCTTCTGGAGCAGATAAAGAGAAAACAAACACCAGAACAATACCTCATATAAAAAAAAGAGGGTATGAACATGGTGGGGCGCTTAACTAGTCGCACTAAAATTAGACTTACTCAAGGAAATTTGAAAAATCTTGCTCATCCAACAAGAGATAAGAAATGAATATACTAAGGGTGGCGTTAAGCAGAGAGATGCATTAAAATGATTCAAGTAAACTAGCATATTTGCGCGGTCTCTCATGTGTGCAAACGAGATGTGACACTTTGATTGGGTGTCCAAAACTATATATAAGTCTAATTTTCATCTATGTATTTTGTTGAAGTGACAGGGCGATACAAGTATCTCAAATTTGCTCTAAAACTAGTCTTATTTTGTCCTGTATGTACAATAGCATGTTACGATAACAGTTATCTTTATCTCAACTTATCTGCTGCGGTTCAGAGTTATGCGCATAGCATAATTTCTATTTATTCAACAAAATGGAGAAAACGAAATTACAATAGATGCAAATCTGGGAATGTATGACATCGATGTCTAAAATTGATTACGGTTCACCATCCTTAACTACAATTTGTTTTTTTTCGTTACTTCCACCCTGATTCTGATTTCCATCACCAATAACAGGAGCACTGTTCTGAATTACACGGCTTTCATTGGCTGCTCTAATAATCGTTGCTTGTGCCTCTGCTTGTGCTTTTAATTGTTCAGCTTCACTTTATATCTTGTCTTACATTTATTTGCTGAAAAATAATTTGAGTACAGCGAAGGTACCTCCAATTGACAAGTATCAAAAAGGTGCATTTTTTCGCTACTTTTTTAGTTTTTTCCACACCATCTGTTCTAAAAGATATTTTTACAGACCACGAGAAAGAGCACATTCAGAAGTACAAAAAGAACTGACTGCTCACTTTTGCAACCCTTTTTCTACGGAAATAGTAGCAAAAGAAAAAGGTTCAGGTAGAAAAAAATAACCGATTTTCAAAGTTTTCATTTTTTTCGTCTTTCGTATAATCTGCGTAGTTTTCTTGATTGAAGCACTAAAATTAAAGGTTAGGTATGGTTTTGTAGAGCATTTCACGGCGCATCTTTTTAAAAAAACATTAACCTTTGGGTCCTAAAGGAACACAAGGAAAATAGAAAATATTGAGATGCCACACTCATTACAATTTCTGCGAATCTGACGATGAGGGGGCCGTCAATTGCACGCAATGTATTTTTCAGCAAATAAATGCAAAACCAAATTTAAATATACAGAATTGTAGAGAATTCCAAGCGCTATCAGAATATGTGATCATTTTGTAAAAGTATATTTTCGTAAGGAAAATATCTTAAATACATATAAATATCTTAAAAATACTGTGTGCAACTATTTTTTTCCACGAGGATAATATCTGTATAACAAAACGTTACATGTTAGTTGCGCATAACTGCAACTTTCTTGATCCTTACTTTTCAGTTTAATTTAGACAAAACATTCAGTAGACGCAAGATTTGACAAAGCGCGTTACTTACAAGCAAGTATTGGCCTGGTGTATCTCTGCCCATACTTTTCGGATACAGTCTTACTTAATGACCCCTATTCCGGATAAATCACTGATAAATAATGATCTAAACTTATATTATCTTTCACAATAGTTTCAAATAGCTTTCATTACCAGTCAAGCAGAGAACATAAAAGCTAAAATCAAGCAATATACCATAACCGTTAGTTTTTTGTTCTTCAGATAATTGGTTCGATTGTTGACTAACAACATATAACGGGTGGCGCATAAATAAACGCACTCCCGTATTTTGAATATAACTCCGCCGGCTTTTATCCTATCGATCCAAATCTTTTTCCAAAAGATTCCTTATTGAATTCTCTACAAAACCATGTCATA